GCGCCCGTCGACAGTTCTGCAGCGAACCTGCGAGAATCTTATCGCCCGCTCTCGTTGCATCCCCTCGCCCGCGCCGCGCGCGACTAATCCGAGGAAAAACGGCCGGGGCTTGGCGGCCACCGACGCAACTCCGCGGCAAGGAAGTCATTAAATAACAATTAAACAAGTTACAAGTCGGTAATCAGATGCATCACGTTAGCCTTGGATAATACCGTGCGACACGTAAGCTCCAATTACCGCGTACGATTCTAAGCGCGAGCCCGGCGGCGAGGGGCGAATGCGCGAGAGGAGACTTTCCAAATGGATGCCTTATCGGCCATCACGCACAGCCGACCGCTTACAAACCTATAGAAAATACGGAACGATAAGAAATGTCGTTTGCCGTTTCATCGGTGAGTCGAAAACTTGCGGGATGTCGTGAGTCTCGGGCGACCTTCCACGAGGGATGTCGAGGAGTGTACGAATGAAAAATAAATGAATAGAAAGGTACACGGATGTGACAATAAATGAACTGATCTTTCCTAGACGAAGAATCGTTAAATTTACGTGGGTATCATCCCGGAAATGAAATGAAAAATACAAAGCTTGAAACTGAGGGAGAGAGATCGACGATCGGTTGATTGGAACGCGACGATGAACGGTGAACGGTTTCTGAAAAATGTTTTTCCGAAGGAACAGAGGGAATTTCCGGTTCTCAGGAACTCAATTGGGCTCATAAGAGCCAGAAATTCTATTCGATTCGTTCATTCGCAAAGATCGATGTCCACGTGTCGTGCATGTCTAAATTAAATATTCTTATTAAAAATGATTTAAAAAAAGTGCCTCCCTTGACGGAAGTTTTCGGCGCGACCAGCTTTACGCGAGATGAAAAAGCTCGGGAAGAAATTGGCTCTTTCTTCGTCAAGGTGCAGAGGCAGATGTGCAAGAAGGCACTATGTGACTAAGATTGTTTACCTTTTTGTCCTTAATTAGAGGATTATAAGCTACGAAGGGCGGACGCAGGGTAGGGCGGAGGAGTGGCACGAGCTTTGAAAGTTGAGTGCCGCGGGCCTAAGAGGCAAGTCCACACTGATCGAATTACGATTCACGGTGGGGCAGGAACGTGCTCTCAGCGTCAGAATGACGCGACGAGAAGAATGTCGTGTGCTTTCGGTTTCCATTACCGTGGATGCCCGCGGCTCGTTGCGTTCTTCCGCGGCATTTTCTCCCTCTCGTCGCCGACGGTTCTTTTTTACGTTCGCTTAACAGTCCCTGTAAAAAGCCACGGTGACGGCATTATTGTCCTTTCCGCGTCTTCCCAACGACGTGCCTTTGTCTACCTGATTTAGTCCCACACCCGCCGCTTCAGCCCGCTCCTCTGGGCTTGTCCTGAAGTCGTGTAGGTACATAGGGTGTCCAGAAGAAACAGATTCCAGACTTACAGAGCAGTCTGACACTCATTGCACCAAAAAGTGCTCGGTGAACGTGGGCCGAAGAATCAACACTTCCAGAGTTGTAAATGTTTCTCAATTTTGCCAAGTCGTTTGTGCGCTTCCAGTACGAATTTCCGCGACAATCACGCGTGAGCAGCGGAAAGTCCTCGTGCAATTGCTGAGATACATCGCGCTTCTTCTCGTGCCGAACCTCGTTTGGAGACAATCGGTTACGATTTCGATCGGGTTGGACGATACAAATCATTCCAACCGGCAGATTTCGTCTCAACGCCGAGGCAGCGATTGGAATTATTGAGCACTGGAAGTTATAGAAAAGCGAGAATGCTGTTTGTCGACTCGCTTCGCAAATCCCCTTCACTCGAACGGAACTTTCATCTGAGAGGCAGTTTCAGCAAAGAAGGTGTCTGGAAAACTCACGGGATTGTTATCACGATTAATCTTTCATTTTTGTAAAGAGTCGGCCGTTACGATCGGCGGAGAATATAAAAATCTCAAACGTCCTTTCAACAAGCGATTGTAATTTTATTATTATATTATTGTGCAATTTTTATTTTGCAGTAAATTGTCGTGTAACTCGACTGAATCTCCCGCGTTGAGAGAATCAAATCCGGAAAATCGGACGTATCGCCGCGATTCCGACGAACGAAAATGGAAAAAAATTCCCTCGTTAACGCATGCATTCGCTGTTCTCGGCTCAAGTCGTGCGACACTTTTGTGGAGAACACTTTTCCGCGGAAAGCTAACGAGACCAAATTACCGCGATCGAGTCGCGCATGCGTTAATTATTAACGTATGGACGTAATTTCTCCTCGCCGCGCGTTTCACCGCGATGATTACAGAAATGGAACTAAAAGTGCACACTTTTTAACGTCGCAATTAAGTTCGCACCGCGAGGCGAGGCGAGGCAAGGCGAGGCGAGGCGAGGTGAAGCGAGCCGCCTAGATACGTCACGCGGAAACGTCTGCTTAACCAAATATTGAATTAACCGGCAAGCCGTCGGCGCCGACGAAGCCGCTCCTCAATTATACAGACACAGTTAAGACGTAAATCGTTAAAATCGTTCGAATTTATTAATTCATCCATTAATTTATCATATTATGCACAATATGGCGCCACGTACGCGCCATATTGTGCATAATATGATGAACGTGTCCAATTTTCTGCATTATTCGCGAATAACGATCGTGGCTCAAGTTAAGAAACTTGCCCTAAGCTCGCGTCACATACATGAGGGAATATCCTGGGAACGTGTCCTGCGCGTTCTCGGTTCTCTCACATCGTCGCGCCGTTTTTCGCCGTGACGAGATTTAAAACGTGACTTGTTGCGGCGCGGAGGAGCAGCGAGAGGTCTGCGAATTGGATGACTGCCAGGCACACATGCGGAGGGCGCGAGGCGAACGCGAGGGAAACGAGAACATTATCGGATTAGTTCGGATAATGTTAGAATTGGATGTTAGGAAAATGCTTCGACGGGCGTGCTCGCTGCGTGCTCCGCGGCTCTAAGTAAGGTCGTCCCTCATGATATTCAGCGACATTCGAGCGATTCCTTTTAATGGGTAATGGAACGATGAAACGATTCGCATCGAGATTAGCTGCGCTAATCAGCGTAATAGTTAATAACATAATCAGCGTAACGTTAATAACAGTCCACGGAATAAAATATTTATTACAAAATAGATTTGAATATATATTTAAACGCTAATCACAATATGCGGTCCGTTGCGAAAGATCCGTATTTTATAAAATATATATATATATATATTAATACGCTGCTACATATAATTATTATTAATTTTATTGTTATTATCGTCATGTGTGTGTATGTGATCTCGTTACTTCCCTTTATTTTATGTAAATGCAATAATAATAATACACAGGGAGAGGCAATAATTATTACCATTCTGCATCCGTTTTAACAGACACTACCGAGAACTCGATGCAAGGACGAATCATTCGATTAAAAAGAAAAGAAAAGAAAGAGAAGAAAAGAAAGAAAAGAAAAGAAAATCGTGAGTGATGTCTGTAATTTTGTGTGACCAATAACGACGTAAACTTAGCGGAAGAAAGCAAGTATTCGGTCGGCGAAGTTTTCAAGTACGACCTCTTAAAACGGAGAATTGCATCGTCGCGGCGCTTAAAACGGGAACGTATTTCCAATCAGAGATTCCAACGTGATGCTAAACTGCGCTAAAGGAGGCAGATCGACGGTACCTCGCGCGTTTGTCTCGTGAGACGCGAAATTCGCGACGTTCTGCTTTACGAGCTGCGAGAGACAGCAAGCTACGACGAAATCGGCGCTTCGCGCCGTCGCCGCCACTCCGCAAGTTAATTCGAACGACCGCGCGTGGAATATGTTTTTGCGATATCGAGGCAACGGGAGAGATGCTATCACCTTGGAACAATTATAGGTTTGAACCATCACGTTGCGTAACAGCCTCTCACCGTTAACGCCATGCCGCGCGCGTTTTCGTGGCTGCCCGGCCAATCTTGATTCCAACGATCGTGCTCGCGTTAATAGGGAACGCTATTTCCCGACAAAGCCTGAAGACATGACTGGCTGGCGGCCAAAGTGACGTCATAAACTGATCGCGCTAATTACTCTATTCCCGTGCGCACTCCGGAATCTCCTTGGCGTCACGCGGAATTATCATTCCCGTCAATCGCGCTTTGGTCTTAAATCTCTTCTCGCACATATTACACAGTATCCTACAAAGATTCAGATCATATTTACCTGCGATATCTCGACATCGAATAACATATTAGACAGCGAGAGCCTTGTATTTTTCTCGGGGCAATAATTGAGCGAAAAATTGAGCGGGTTGTTAACAAAGCTGCAGGGATTACTTACTGCACGTATAAAAGTATCGATTTGCGGGAGGTGTGTGTTTAAAATATAGTGCGTCTCGCTGTTTGTGAAAAACTACAAGCGCAACGTCCAGCAAAAAGATCCGCAGGTGGATAATTTCCCAGCGCCGCGCGCGTACCGAAGTGAAATATTTGTCACATACATCGATCGTCATACTCGTCACACAAAAAGAAACAGGGACAGTTTGAAGAGAGAGAGAGAGAGAGAGAGAGAGAGAGAGAGAGAGAGAGAGAGAGAGAGAGAGAGAGAGCGGACAATGATCACGCGAGAGACAAATGATAATAACGATTAATTGACGGGCGATTAAGTGATCTTGCGAGATATCGAGCTTGTCACTCGAGAGTCCGCTCGCGTTCGCTCGCCACTCTCGTTCGTGGCGCACGTACGAACACACATACGTCACGCCACGCGAAAATTCCAACGCGGCGAGCGTCGATAACGATCAATAGTTTTGCGAGATTGCGAAGCCGAGCGCACATGCACGCGATGCAAAGGAAAGTAAAAAACATCGCCGGGTCTAATAAGTCGGTGCACGAATGGCGCATCGACGAAGTCGCTGAGTCGCGACATCGTCGAGATATTCCACCCCCTCACCCCCCGGTCTCACCCCCGCCGCTGCGGCGAGACGGAGGGATCCATAGCCGGCCGGCTGTCCCAAAGTCGCGATGCTATCGTTGTGTCTAACTGAACTCTAATTACAGTGTTCAAGAGACAGATGGATCCTTCTTCGAGAGCTTCACCGCGTTATCCTGGAAGCAGGAGAATCGGAGGCGCGCTGTCCTGCAGGAAGCGGAAGCGAGAGCGATGGAACCGCAACCGCCGTCCAGAAACTCGACTTTGATTTCGCAACCGTATCGGCTTAGCAAAAAGGAGGTCGGTATATGCAGCCTCTCTCCGTCTCCGTTGTGCGAACTGAGCGTGCGATTCTTTGTAGTTTCTTCTTCCTCTTCTTCTCCCTCTTGCTTCTTAACCCTCACCTTGTCCCCACGACTTTAGCTCTATGCCCTTCCGCAAACGAATACGCGCGATATATACTCTTTTATCACGAAAGTTTTGCGCGCTTGGACGCTCTTGAGTGTACTTCCTTTCCCCCTTTTTCCCCCTTTCGTGCCCGCAGCGCGCTCACAGCCGCGGATTGAAACTCATCTCGCTCGTTACTTTCTGCTGGTTCGGTAGCCGAAGTGAAATTTTCGCGGCCGCTGTTATAACGAACGTCGACGAGCTCGCCGCGCCTTTCGCGACGGCGAATCGCGTGCAGCTCTAGGCCGCTACATTCAGCACGCGTCATCCTGCTCGCGACGAGGGCTTGCATGCGGACGAGTAGTTACGTCTGTTCCCCACACAAACACACACACACACACACACACACACACACACACACGCATGCACGGCGAGTTTGAAGTATTATCTTAAGTAGATAAAGTCGACCGCACGTAGTAGGGTCAGACGGGCGCGCTCGCTCGTGGATCGAAATAACAGCGAACGCGTAATGAAAGTACGCTATATCGCACCCGTTGTCTTCATGTACGGCTCGCACGAGGACGAGGAGAATAACTCGTCGTATTCCCGGCTCTCACTGCCGCGTCCGATTCGGAAGACGAGAATTTTCTTGGATTTCAACATCTCACACCGGCTTCTTAACAACGCGACGCGACGGTTTGTCTGGATGCGAGGCGCCGCGCCGCGCCGTTTCGTTTTCGCGCGACGTAGAACTCGCGTATTTTCCGTGGAGGCGCGAATCTAAAATGCAAATTCGCCCGCGTAAATGTAACGCAGAGTGCGTAACGCCAAGTGTACAAATCTACGGCCCGACTCTCTCTCTCTCTCTCTCTCTCTCTCTCTCTCTCTCTCTCTCTCTCCCCCTCTCTCTCTCTCTCTCTCCCTCTCTCTCTCTCCGCCTGCGCAGAGAAAGAGAGGACGAGAGTCACGTCTCACGTATTTCCGTCGCTCCGCCAGATCGGACGTGTATAAATTCGAATGAATTTCGCCATTCGCGCACGCGAGCACCCGCAAATCTAATATGGATCTCTGCGGATCCGTGCACGTTTGCGCGTTCACGTAGATTTATAGATCCATCCGTCATGGATGAAGAGAGTTGTGTATTCTTTTTCCGTGTGTGCGCGCGCCTGCGTGCGATTTTTCGCGTTTCTGTCGCGCTTGTCTTTTCCTTTGCCTCCCTCTTTCCCTCTCTCTTCGCAGAGAGATAAAGAGCGCAGGAGGGAGAGTCGCGCAGAAAATAAATATCCACCGCGCGGGAAAACACTTTTAAGTAAATAGCGTTTCAGGCGAGAGTTCGCGGAGGCTTTCTACGAAGTTTTCTCGCGCTTGCTCGCACCAAGCGCAGCGAGTATTCGCGCGCTTCGATGTTTCCTTTCCTCGTTTGCATTCTCCTTCGTCGTGCTGAGTCGTCTCGGTCGCGGCTCTCTTTAATGCTCATCCATGCCCCCTGTCTGGGATACCCTCGATGTAGCGCGAAAGTTGCAATGCGCCGCGCTTCGAGGGAGAATAATGGGCGAAAAGCCGGGGTTGTTTCTTTGTTAAAAGGAGAAGGGGATAGGAGAAGGAAATTCTTTCCGCAGCATTGGGGAATGACGACGAGAAACGAGGATTACGCTCCTGCGACTTATTTGCAATGATCATGCCGACGAACCAATAAACAAGCTTCTTCTTACTTCCTTGAATATGAAATAATATTCAGCACAAGGCGCAAAGTAACCATGACACAACCCCCGTAGCTTCTTATCAACGAGAGATTTGAAATAAAAATACCAATGTCGGGACATGTATTTTATTCTGGACATTTTTTTTCGTTCGGTTTCTAAATTCGAATATTTAAACTTTCAACATGGAACATATGTAAGTATTTAAAATATTTAATGTCCTGGCATTGGCATACCTTTTACCATGTTTAAGTATAATTATTTTTCTGAAAATTTCTCCAAACTTTATGTGCTGTCGCTTCGTTAAATTCACCTGCTTTTGTGAGTGCGTCACGTCGATAAAAAATATAATAACGAGGAAAGCGCTTGTATATATCCTCACGAGTTGAAAAGCGCAAACTTGCGTCCAAGTTGCGAAAGCGCGAAGCCTCTTGGATCGGTTTTACGCTCTATCTCCCATGAAATGAGTTTGTAATCTAGCAGCTATAATGAACACTGTATTGCTTGAAATTCCTGCGAAAAGGAGCGGAGAGGAAGTTCAACGAGACAAAGGAAATCCTTAAGTCGCAATTTAATCGTCTTTCAGTGGGACTGTCGATATATATATATATATATATATAATTTTCGCAGAGAGAGAATCCGACGCATTTTTTTAATAGCGTGCACGACGTCGTATTCCTCATGTATAAGTAGAATTATATAAATGTTTTGTCTATCCTAATTACCTAAAATACTTCTATTGTGTTTGATGTTATGAAAAAATATATAAACAAAAAGTTGCACTATTCAAGGAGATAATTATGATGATAGGAACCTTTTTTTTCTTTCAAAGTTATTTTCTTGTCAAAAATCTCAAGGTTAAGATTATTTTTTAAATAAAACCATATTTTTGTTTGAATCATCTTATAACCGAATAGATTTTAACAAATTGCGATCAGACTTTTTTTTTTTTTGAGGAATTCTTACGTTCAGTTTATCATTTCTTTCCGATGTCACACTTTTCTCCCTTCCTTATTCTTGCACCTCTCTTCAAGAAAATGAAATTACTACCTGCCAAATATTAATTGATTCATTCATTCATTTATTTAGTGTTTTACTTACATTAAACTTATTGCAAGCAACAGACGAAGGGAGGAACTGTTTCGAAGCCTCATCTGAAAGAAATAAGCAAAGCAAAGTGTATTATTAAAAACAACAAAATCAAAGATTGCACCGCGCCTTTTCCAGATGGAGCAATTGTACATAGAAGTCCTTTACACGATCGCGAACACAGTGGGCGCCAGCACGGGCCAATACGCACATTACAAGGAGGATCTGTATCGGTACGCGCAAGAAGCGTTCGGCGTCCCGCAGGATCAGCACCGACGATATCTCAATATTGCCTCGGAGGAGAAGGTATGCCGGGCAGCTTATTGACTTTTCTCGCGGAGGCGGCGGCAACACGGACGAAAAATGTGTTGCCGTTGGACGTTCTCGGTCGTTATCGGCGACTTGGCGAAAATAAACGGCACGTAACTTATCTATCGTTGTTGCAGCCACCTATCGTCGTGCTGAGCGTGGTGGTGATCGAAGCCGACGGGCTCGAGGCGAAGGACGTCAACGGTGAGTGGATTCCGTCGCGTCGCAACGCGCCGAGCTTAACTCTCTCGCGACTGCTAAATGATTCCGAGAAAGAACAATCCAAAAAGAGAAACAAGAGAAAGATGACGGGGAAGAAAGAAGAGTCCTCCGGCGAAAGCAAATTCCGACCGCGAATGAATACATGACGAGATCGTATTCTTTGGTTAATTTAACGAGCCGCGCTTTAACTTCAACTTCAGGCTAATTGAGTTACGTGGGAAATGTTTAATCCTGAAAATTTCAAAGCGCCCCGCGATAAACTCGCGTGTCGGCTCTCTCCTGGAAGCTTTCGTCGGCTGAAACACTCTGACGCCGGCGAAGCAGCCAGCCAGAGACATTCGCGATCGACTAACGGTGATTGATTTCGAGATTAGATGCTTTAATTATCCGGTGTTTCGCCGTTTTCTCTTACGCCGTAGATACGTCGTAATTCGCGAGTTCGAGAGGGTGGATTCGAGAATGATTGGGGGAGTAGGAAAATGGGGCGCGAGCGGCATCGCAGACACGCGATTCGCGTAGGCAGGTATATACGCGAGGTCGCTTTCACCGTAAGAACGCTGTCACTTACCTTCCCCAGGATTCAGCGATCCTTACTGCATGCTGGGAATACAGCCCGGCAACGCAGGTGCGCCGTTGAGCCCGCAAACGAACTTAACGGCGCACTCGCCGCACACACCCCCGGCATCCCCGCGGCAAACGACTCGCGCCTTGTCTGATGGCGGCGAGAACGAGAATTCGCATCACGAGAAGCTCCGCAAGCATCACAGGTAAGCCGGCAGGCGATGCGCGAAAGCAGGCAGGGCGAGGTTGGTTTAATTCGCGCGCGAGGAGAACGTACGAAGGAGAAAAAAGAAGGAACGCTTTCGTCGGACAAGCCAGGAGCGGCGCAACATGAAACTCGCGAGATGGGAAAGACCGAAAATGACGCATGTGTCTGCTGTCGGAGAAAGGAATTCTCGGGATATATAAAAGTAATAGAATCATTGTAGTCGGAATAATTGTTTATCATTAACCTTCTAGGTCCGTGAGATGACTGTAGTCGTCGCTACATGTACTCCTCAGAAAGCCGTGTGATGCTTTAAGGCATCGCGAAGTTATTCGCGAAGATTTTCATAAAGCAATATATATTTTTCTTTATCTTTTTACTCCAATATTTAAGTCTTTGTGTATAATTTTGTTTTGTATGGCTCGACTTGCTGGGGATTGGAGTTAAGGAAAAATTCGCCCGGAAAGGGTTGATCCAAAAGGGAGAAAGAGAAAAATAAGCGTCCCTCCAGATTGTACGCTCAAAGTAACGTTTGACGTGGAGTGATTTTCGAGTGATTTTCGGCAAAAATCATTTATGATCGCCCACAATCCACCACGGCAACATAAATTTAATAACTGCGATTCAATATCGAGAGAGAATATACGTTTGCTCGTATTCGCATTTTTCCACAGAGTTCGATCCACTGCGCAACGCGAACTGATGGGTCATGAGATTAACCTTTTCGCTACCATTTTGCGTCGCTGCAGCGGTTTCCCGTTAAACGACTTTTTAGGACGATACACCGTCACAGTGACTCTCTTCTACGCGGAGAAAAAAGATTGCTTGTAACAACGTGACGATGGATGGACCGAACGCGTTTTTGTTTTGAAGAAAAGCGGGATTTCTGGCTCTTAGAGGCGAATACGATTCGTGAGAAATTTCCTCCGTCGTTTTTCTCCGCCCATGACTTGCATCGAGAGCCAACGAGTAGCCAGCGTTGTTGTTGAGCAGCGATTTCCTCAACACCTTCGATGCCCCAGATACAACTTTCACTCATTAGTCATTAATTTACTTTAAACTGACGTAGATATAGTCAAAGTTGCGACAATTACTCCTCGCTGAGTTTCGCGCACATCCAACAGCAGAACTCTTTCTCCTTTAATAATCCATGGAAGTTGAATTTTCTTTTTCTTTCGCTATCTTTTTTCTTCCTTGACGTACGAACTAAATTACATAGTAACTGGCTGCGTTCGCAGCCAAAGGGTGGCCGTAGCGAAAGGGTTGAACCCTATTGCGTGCGTATGCATATATGTGTGTGTGTGTAGTATCTGCTAGATTAAAGCATCCGGCAGAATTCCCTATTTAGCCCGGCGACAGATGTTGTGTCAAGCATTCGTCAATAAAGCTGTTTCTGCCCACGACACACCAAAGGCTCCATTCTTTATTTCTCGCAGGACAGGCCGCGAGAGCCGTAGACGTAGACGTGAAACTTTCTCTCCCCTCTGCGGCGATTTGTCTTCCGCCTCCCCCTCGGACAATCGCGAATAATCCGCTATCGATTGTCGATGCTAACGGCGCGAGGACAACGCGATCGCGATCGCGTTGGTACTGTATTTTCGAAAACGTTGTTCGCTGTGAAATATTGCGGCGCGTCTACCATTATCGGCGACTGAGATGGGACAATGGCAGCGCGCGCTACTTAAGATAAGTGCACACCTGAGCGTGGCGATTAATATCGCGTGGGAAATGATGCATAACTGAGACTCGCTCACATTCAAAGGATTAAAAAGTATCGATTCGCGCGATTCCTTTGGCGAGAAATCCAGCGCGATCCACGGCTCGGCTTGGTGGCAGCTCAAACCTCGTGAGACTTTGTGGACCCAAAGCCGTTATTTGAACAGCCGTTACAGCCGTCTCGAGTGAGATACTCAGGCTTTGAGATCAGAAACATCAAATAATTCAGACCTAAAAACTCTGATCTGACGCTCGATCAGCATCTGAGTGTGTCGCACAAGACAAGTTTCGTGTGACGTCTATTTAACACGAGCTTTAGAATTCGCCACGAGTTTCTCAGTTGAATCGCGACCGCAAATACAGGGTGGCTCGATCAAGTCAGTTTCCTAGGGTTTCACTAGGATCTGCAGAAAGAAATCCCAACGAGCAGGGATATCAAAGTGAAGGTGAATATAGTCGATAAGAGTGGAGGGCTAGGATAGGAACTGTTGCTGGATGATCATTCAGATCTTGGCGGGAGGGTAAAATTGCTCGACCGTAACAAAGGAATTTCACCCTTGCGTTACTCACCGGCAAAAACGATGACTTTACCAAATCTGCGACCGACTTTCAGACCACCCTGTACACAACGTTGCGCGCATCGTATAATCAAGGAACGAAGGATCGGAGCCACGCAATCGGATAGGCCGGCGAATCTCGGCTAGCGCGTTACGAATCCACACATCGGCCGGTGATAGCCACGCATTTACCGCGTGTTAACTCCGACATTTGCGACAATGCGGCGAGACGCACAATGGACGCGTCGGATGCGGCAAGTTCTGACGGCGAGCGTCGTTCCCTGTCGTTCGGTCAAAGAACGGTGGAGGAGGAGAGGCGAGGAACACACATAGAGAGCAAGGTCCATTTTGCTGTGTATCTTCCGCGCATTGTTCCGTTCGCCACCTAGCGGTATAAATAAGGTGATTAATACGAAAGCGGAACAGTGCATCGCGAGCTCTGCCGCAGCGAGACGCGCGACGCGCCGAGCGTCGAGTCGTCGTTGCGCTTCTTCGTCGTTTCCGCACGAAATCCCAGCTGGACAGCGCCGACAACCGACGATACCATGCTGCATCTTGGCATAGAGGAGATGGAAGCCATGTGAGAAAAACTTGGAATATATATATATATATATCGTGTATGAATATATATATATATATACACACGATACACGTCCTGCGCCGACGGCGACGGCGACAAGAACGACGGAGACGAGGAGGAGAACGAGGACGACACAGTTTGCCAATTAGCATCAAAATTCCAGTTTCGGAAATTAGCGCAGCGAGCGCGCCGTGCTCGTGCACTGTCGAATACCTAATTAAGAGGAGAACAATCGTGAGAGAGACGCAGCGCAGCATATAATTGCGACATAGTTGAAAAGTTGTCAGCACAGAACAGAACTTGCGCGATGTCGCTCTTCGAAGGAATTAGGATTCGATGTCACGCAGTATTTACGGGTATCGGACGATAAGTTCAGACGTTGTTTCCGCGTTTCGGGATTTTGGAATTTTAACGCTAGGCACTTCCGTCCCGCGACGACGGCGAGTGGGTAAGTCGCCGGCGAGTCGCTTCAACGAGACTGCGGTCGGGCGGCGAGAAATCGAAACGGGAAGTCGGGAACAGTGCGCGATGAGAGGCGAACGTTTGGAGATTAGGACGAGCGGTCGGAGCGACGAGTGTTGGCGGTTAGTAAACTGTCCCATTCGAAATCAGTTTCAGGCTCTCGTTTAAGCGCAAGGAGCACAGCAGCAGGCGGGAGCACCGCGAGTCCTTGAGCAGCGCTTTACCCGCGAAGTTTATTCGAGCCACCTCGGTGAAGCCGCACACGCTGAGCCCGCGATGGAACGAGAAGTTCCGTTTGTAAGCGAAAACTTCGGGGCCTGGTCCCCTCGTAAATTGGCGCGCAATGGCGATTCTCTGTATTAGTTTAAGCAGCGGTAATTCGTGTACATGCATAACCGTGCGCTCCGATTCCTCTTTCAGCGACATCGACGACGTCAGCACGGACAACCTCCATCTGGACATATGGTGAGTTCGCGTGTGCATCTTTTCTCTTAAAGGCATTGCAAAAGTCAGAGCCATGTTCCTCGTGTGTACAGGATGTCCCTGATCCGCGCTCATCATTTGCACAGCGCTACTTGCCATGAAAAGTTTTGACAATTTTCACAGACGGCAATAAAGCTTGGAAATTCTTCCCGAGAAAGGACAAATTTTCAGGAAAAATAGCAATGTGTAAATAGTGAGCAAGAATTATGGAGCACTCTGTGTGTGTGCGTGTGTGTGTGTGTACCTCTCTCTTGGAATTTAGAAAAAAGTTTGAAAAATTTATTCGTTGGAGTCGAGGAGATGAGTGAGATAGTAATAGCGATATGACAATGAGAGATGATTAATTGCGATGTAATTGTATGACTTTAATACAATCTTGATACGAACGTCTCCTGCGAATTACACCGAAAGTTCTCGATCGAGCGAGACCTTAGAATCGCAATAATGATTTCAGGGACCACGACGACGAGTCCTCGGTGTTCGACGCGGTAATTAAACTCAATGAAGTGCGGGGTGTGAAAGGGCTCGGACGGTTCTTCAAGCAGATCGCGCAGAGCGCCAGATCTGGAAGTCAGGACGACTTCTTGGGTTGCGTGAACATTCCCTTACAAGTGATTATCTAATCAGTTCACTTCTTTCTTACTTAATACATCGTAAACCGTACGATTAAACCGTTCTGAAACACTTTCAATAGGACTAAATATTAATTTCAAGATATAAATTTCAAATATTAATTTCAAAAAATAATACGTCTCTGGCACAAAGGAGCCGATTAAACATAGTTATTAAGTTCGCGAAATTCTAAATTATTATTTCCAGATTATTTTCCGGCGACTCTCGTTTGCATGCCCCATATTAAAGTGCATTCTAATGACTCGTGTCGAAAATAAAATTGCAGACCGAGCACGTACATGAACATACGCGCGTTCTTTGTGCAGGATATTCCGAGCACCGGGCTCGACCAATGGTACAAACTTGAGGCACGAACACAAAGGAGTAATATCCAAGGCAGAATCAGACTGAAATTATGGCTGTCGACGCGAGAGGACCGGGGAACGTCCGAGGAGGATAATTGGGGCGAACTGAGGCAACAGGAAAGGCTCTACACAGTATTCCTCAATCACGAGATGAACAAACAAGGGGTACGTATAACCGTATAACGCACACGCTCGCGCGCATTCGCCGCGCGGAAAATGTTGTTTATATCACATATTCCGCATAACAGCGTCGTATATTTTCCTCTGGAAATACTGTGCCACGGTAAAGCCGTGTGCACCTACGTTGTTAGACGTGCAATATGGAATCATCGCGTTATAAATCGACCCACATGTGCGTGTAGTCGTAATATTTCAGCCGGTTATTTGGAAGCAACGAGGGAATATGAACGAGATGAACAAACGCGAAAACGCGTACGTTCTCGCGCGGGAGATCCTTTTCTTATCGCGAGTGATTTGTTTTTCATCGCGCCGATTTTATCTACCAGCCGAAAATAGATGTGATGTAAATCTGCTGACAACAGCTTCACTCGTCCCTTGGGTCACGCGATGAACAAAGGCTATATCTCTTACAAACGCTTCACACGGCATTCGTGTCTCTATCATGTGGAACAACAAAATTTAAATATATTAAAGATTTACTGCGAATATTAATAATCATTATTAATATCAAAGTAATAATATATTATGGAAATTTGACAGAAATTTGTAATAAATTTATTGCGCGCTGCAATATAAGAGATACACATCGTTGTCAATGTGATTTGACGATTAATTCAAAAAATAAAAATGTAGCATATTATATTTGCTCTATAAGTGAAATTTGAAAAATTGTAAAATTTTTCTCCGTCTCCGATTGTTTCACGTCGTGAAAGTCTATCTAGGGAAAATAAGAAATAATGGAATAAAACGGAACAAGTCGCAAGGGTATTTTCTTCATCACATATTCATGATCCACGGATCGTTGGCCGGACGCGTGTTTATACGCGATTGATTGATACGTGTTCTTCAGGCAGACTTCACCGGAGAACTGCCGCAAACTGCGCTGACGATCCTGCATCAACATGCGGTGCAAGGTGACGTGACCGAGTTACAGCAGGCTTTAATAAGGTGGGTGGCGAGTTCTCGACAGCCCGCCGTGGATCCGCGAACGCTTCATCGGTTACTCCAGGTAAGGAGCGTTGCGCGAGCCGACTTGTGTTTCGTGTTGCACGGCGAATGTCGGGATTAATTTTTGAGCTGATGTAACGTTTGCGGATTTTAATTGTCCCGCGAACTCAGGAGCTCAACAACCGATGGCACACGGAGACCTTGTCACGTGACGCGGAGCAGTGCCTGGCAGATTCCTTCAACGATTTCTTGGAGGTGTCCCTGAAGAAGGTCAGGCAACACCGAGTGCTATACCCGCCTCAGCACGAACCGACGTTAGTGAAACTGGAGTACCTGCTCAGGTGAGCTTTAACGAGATACATGAATAACACCAAACTGCATGGAAAAAAGAGATGGATTGAATTCATTTTGATTGAAGAAAATAAAATTTCTAATCTCGAAATCTAATAAGTTTGTAATTATGAGTCAAGCTTGATTCTGAAGCGACTATTCTAAGAACTAGAAATTTGTTTCTCCTCAATTAAAACGAGCGCTGAATTCGCTCACGTTGCAACCAATCTTTTTTCTACGCGCGCAAGAAGGAAGAAAATCGAATCTCTGACTTTTACCGACTCCAATTTTCACGATTTTGTACGTTGCAATTGGCGATCTGTGCAGTAATACGAAGAATCGTCGTTCTGCTTGTCTTCCAGGTGCCTGGGACTTCTCTCGAACATGAAGGCTTTCCGCACTTGTTGTCCCTTCAACAAGGAAATTCGAGGAGAAATCATTACCGCTCTCAGGAAGGGAACACTTGAATGGTAAATTGCTTCTTGCAAAATAAAACCGTCCAATTATAACATGTGAAATTAATTTCACACGCGCGTGTGTGTAAAATGTCGTCGTTGAAACTCTCTGGAGAAACGAGCGACTGTACGATTCCAGGAAATGCGGAGTAAAGACGGAAATAGTAGCACGAGACACGTCGAAACTTTCACCGAGTTCAATTCTAATTTCACAGGTATGAAGACACCAGGCAGCAGACAATGTGCCACGATCAGGAACCCGATCAGGACGCAGACCGGGTCCTGCAAGACTTCACGAACTTGGTAACCGCATTATTGGTCGATCTGGAGCAGGGACTTGAATGTTATAACAGTCTCTTTGAAAGGTAAGTTTCTCTCGCGAATTTGCTTTGGAAGACGGAACAAAAATTTAAGTTGGGAAACGTGGAACTTATTGAGAAAATAAGAGCTCCGGCGAGGATTTTCGCGTTAAAAGACGCGAGCGGTATTAGCAGTTACGTTTGCTTCGTGAATTTGCGTATTTGCACAATGCTTTCTCTTTTTGTCGACCATCTGGCAAAGTCTGATAGACACATTTTTATTTCTTGAATTTTTGAACAAATCTAATTATCTCTGAGAAAATTTGTATTTTACATCTTTTTATATTTCCGGAGATTTTTCTTTTAATCAAAGCAAAAATTTGTCTCTTAATAAAATATACGTAATTTCTTGCATATTACAAGAGTATCTTGTTTAACCAAATAAATAAATAAATAATTATCTTCTTCTGTTTTGCAATTAATATATCGTTGGTGTACCGCCGAGAGTTAATACGAACAATGTTTGTAACTTGTGCATTAATTAAGTCAGATAGACGCATCAATATTCGGATAATGAGCAATTTGCATGATCACAGGACGTTAAATCTGTGTGTTTCAGCACGAACGGTGTGCCATATTTTTCGGCAGTTTACAAGCAACTGGAGAAGCTGGTAAGGATGCAAGTGAGGGAAACGTTCCTCGTGAACGGACAAATAAGTGATATTTATATTATATATACATATATATATATATATATATATACATAAATAGGTTTCCACTTGTGATATCTGGCAACGAGATGTCGCGTCAAAGACACACTGTCACATAACACATCATTATTTTTTATTCACTGTGTCGTCGAGCTGGATGTGCTATGTTTGGCTTAAACGCTTTATTCGAAACGTCGATCGTGTCTGCGAGAGCAGAGAGATTCGAGTCCAAAAGTCATTTCGATTATTGCCACCGTAAGCCGCCCGAGTCGGAGAGCGTGAGAATATTAACCGCGAGATGCGTTTCGAAGAGATTCAAATTCGGCCGAATTTCAAAGTCCGATCCTGTAACTTGATTCGAGAAAATATCAGAACCCACTGACTTCAATGAGTCCGATCGACGTCCTTGCATCGAAATAACAATACATATTACAGTTTATATATAAGGTGTCCCAAATATTTACCGTGTGTAGCCTTGCAAAAAGACGTACGGGGCGGCTAAAGATCGATTGTACAAGTATCGTATGTAAAGAGAGAAAAAAGATATGATTTGCAAAGGAGAAATGGAGAAGAAAAAGCAAGTGAGGAAAGAGGTGAATCGAGTTGTCGCAGATAAGCTGCAAAGCCTGTTTTAATGTTGCGCCGGACACCCTGTAAATAAACGAGTCGCAGTGACCTGAAGGCCAGGTTGAGAAAGGGCTTGACGACGAGAATTACAAATGTCCATCAGGTCAGCGCGATTTTACTGTACACGAGATGTTTGTCCATAGCTGGCGGAACACGTGGCGAAACACATGGAGAACACTTCCGAGGTACTTTTTCAAACGCCACCACAAGATATTAAACCCTCTCTCTCTCTCTCTCTTTCTCTCTCCCTCTCTCTCTCTCTCTCTCTCTCTCTCTCTCTCTCTCTCCCCCTCTCTCTCTCTCTCTCTCCCCCTCTCTCTCTCTCTCTCTCTCTTTCTCTCCTTCACTCTTTCTCTCTCTTTATTATTGACCTCTCTCTCTCTCTATCACTCTCTCGCTCTCTTTCTCCCTTTCTTTCTTTGTTTCGATTTCCCTGTATAATGTAAAATTGTCAAAATTGTCGTGTACGTCGCATTTTTACCTGCATACTTGGCGAACTGCAAGTCAAGCTATTGACCAAACGCACGAGATCTCTCTTCTTATTATCGATTGAACCCAGATTAGTACAATGACGACAGTATGCGCTAAAGGAAGCTGCGCGAGTATGCAGTTAAACAGACGTGGTCGACTTAGTAATCGCTGAGTACATTTAATTATACGTACGTTAAAACACACGTGAGTTCTGAGCTGAGCAGCCCGTCGTTTCGATCGAGCGTGACACGCTCGCGCGACACTTTGTAACGAGATCCGAGATTCCCATGTAAATATATGTAGCGATCATTTCTCGACGCAGGGAAGCATACTCGCTCAACATACATATCAACAGCAAGAAAGTATACTCGCAAGCTGCACCCGAAGCGAGCAATAGTGTGCCGAGCGGAGTGAGCAATCCGGTTGACGCGCGCATTACCGCACGTGAGCGGCGTGTGCGAATGTGAAAAATGCATATCTCGTGACACTTCGAATGCTCAAATATTTGTCACGCACGATTTCGTTTCGATGTTAGCGGTTACGAGCGACACGCGTGTTCCAGCGAGTCGTTGTGCCGTCGGATAATTGCGTTACTGCTTCTCTTTGTCTCTCTCTCTCTCTCTCTCTCTCTCTCTATATATATATATATATATATATATATATACAGGGTGCTAAATTTCAAACATTTGCTTAATATTTTTTTGAAATATTTAAGGAAAACTTGGTAACTTTTTCAACATTTAACTTACGATATCTCACTAACTATTTGTCGAAAGAAAAAATAGTATCAGACTTTTTTACTTCATTTACTATCAAGAATGTATTATTATAATAGCCCTAACTTTTGTTAACTTATGGACCTTTAGAAATTTTTAAATTATTAAATTAACGACTTACCAAGTTTTCTTTAAATATTTCAAAAAATATTAGATAAATAAAAAAATGCTTCAGACAAAAGTTGTTAAAATTAATTGGTAGAAAAAAAAGATACAATAAAAAATTGAGCTTTCTATTTTAAAAAATTAAGTTGACCTTCAACTGACCTTGAAAATGCCCTCCAAATAAAAAACTGATAATGCCATTCTCTTTCCCCTTCGAAATCATGGAACACGTGTTTTAGCTTTTTTTAATATCTTTCATAGTTTTCGAGATTTTTTATCTGTTACATTTACAATTTAGCACCCTGTATATATATATATATATATATATATATATACACATCTCTATCTATCTCTCTTCTCTCTCTATTGTTGCGCCGCTCATTGTGCGCGAGTCGACATCGAGTTCTCTCGCGCGTTATTGCCGGATAAAACGTAAACGCACACTACTGCTTCGTGGTAACAATAGAAGTAGCAGTAACAGCAATAGTCATAATAGTTGTAGTAGTTGTCGTAGTGGTAGTAATAGTAGTTTATTTCCCACTCGTTAGCGCACATCTCCTCTACGCGACACTAATTCTCGTGAGTAAAAACTATCGCACGTTGCATGCGGCCGCCCAGATCGTTAGTGGAACACAGCTGCACTTGACGCGTACCGATTGCATGCGCTCGCCAGTTCAGCAAATGACGCACCACTTGCCTTTGTGCACTTACCTTTTAGCTACGGCGCGTGCAGATACAGATGAATTCCTTATTAAACGCGATTACTCGGAAACAATAGATTACACGGAGCCGCGGAAAGCGAGCTCGACGAGCAGAGGCTCCAGAGACTTTCTTCGGCCTCGCAGGAGGATTTGCGTATAATCAGCTTGGAAGGTTAGAAAGATTGAGATTGCTTTCATACTTTTAGTGAGCTTGCTTCAATCTAGAAAAGTTCTCACGATAGAAAAGTGAAATGTATTAACGGGTTATAAATTTAACGAGTTGAAGTGTCGGCAAAATTAAGGAAGTTTGAGATATTGAATATTTTTGGCTATTTGCGAATTCTAATATCTCACAATCCATCAAGTATTTCGCATCTTTTGTTTTCATGGTAAATCGATCGCGTCAAATTTAGACAATGTAAAAATTAATCGAACTATACGCACATATCGTATTTTGTAACACATGTTCTGTACGTCGTGTGTAATCGCGTATTATGAGGAACACATCTGGACTTGTTCGCCGCATAGTACAAAATGGATGAACTAAAATAAACCTCAGAGGATTAAAGAGATTTTATGGTATTATATCGTTTAACGAAACAGCTAAATGCCCATCTTGGACTGGAAAGATACTCATTTTAATATACACAGATGTTTGAAAATTATAGGTGAAGGTTTATTTGACTGATAAAACTCAAATTGGATACTGATAAGATACAACAAGTCTACAAGCAAATTCTTTTCAAACTTTCCATTTCGTTTATTTTTACGTGATTACGCCATGACTGATATTTCGGAGAATTATACCAACATTCTTGCCCAACTTACAGGTAATACACAAAAAGGATTACATCAATTTGCAGAGACATTAAAACCAGAAAACAAGTTTCATCATTGGCTCGTTCGTCTAGTCGTATCTTACATGTACTAAAAACCAGAAAATCAAAGTCTCATAATTAACGCAGTAAGCCGAGACTTCCTCATTCCCATCGCGGGCCAACTTCCCCTTTGATCTATAAACAAACAATATTTCTTTATCTTGATAACCCAATCTTTCTAATCGAGCCTTGTTTCGAGGATGAACATCCGCAGGACCGAGAAAGTCCATCGGCAGCGCGGCGATTTCAACGTTCCGAAGGTCTTCGCTTGAAATCGCTACGACGCCCAGAAGCAAAGATATCGATGAGAGTGGAACAAGCCGCCCTCTCTCGGCCGCTCGGCGCAGTCGGCTCGTGCGGAGGTACTGGGGCGCGCTTGACCTACCTCACGCGTGGGGCTAGCTTGACCGCATTCCACAGTCGTAGTAACGTAGCAACGCGAAAGATCGTATGTCGATACCCATTCGCGCGATCGCGGCCTTGCCCCCACTCCTCGCTCAGATCACTGCGGGCCGTGTTGACATTCTCCCCTCCGCTCCCACTACCCTACACGTGGCGTGAGTCACGTTGCGCCCGTGCAGCGTTCGCCGGTACCGAGCGGTCGAAACTTTAAACGATCGGAGAGAGAATTAATGCAGAGATATATCAGGGAAAACTCGACCTTCTGTGCGATTAATTCGTACGTTGCAATTAACATCGCCTATGTACGTCACAATTAATTTGTACGTTAATTCAAGGCCACAGCCGTGGCCAAACGTCGCAAAAATAATGATTAAAATCGGGACGCAATCCGCGCGTGCTCTTACCCGAGACAGAACCGTTCTTGGTGTATCTGTACGTTAAATAAACGTCCATTGTTTCCGTATTTGAATACATGTGCGAAACACTTTAAATTAACAGCAAGATTTACAGAGAAAATGTATGAGACCGTTAGTGAAATTAATTCGCAGAGGTAGCGGTGGGAAAGGACAAATGGTCACCTGATATTACAACCATTTGGAACGCACAATGAATGAATCCGGAGTGCTATTGTTAACAATATAAATGAGATTAACACGTATCTATGTCGCGTATAAGTTGTCTACACTCCGAAGTCTCTGAAATATCAATTGTCTCGCAGTAATCGTATGAAGAATATAGAATGAGAAATTGCGATTTGAAAACAATCAGATTTATACTGATTAAGCTTGTCTCCGCCTTTCTTCAACTCCATTAACAAATTGAGCCTTCATTTATAATTCTATGGAACGTCCTGTGTATAATTATAAATGAGAGAGACTCGCGTCTTTCCTGATAATTTCTCACAAAGGTTAAGAAGAAAATATAAAATAGAAAGCGAAGAAGTGAAAAGGCATTCAACGACTGCATAATCCGTCTCCCTATGCTCCGAACATTAAGCGTTAATTTCTTTCTCTCTCTCTCTCTCTCTCTCTCTCTCTCTCTCTGTAAGAGAGGAAATTTTTTATAAAAAGACTTCTTTATAAAATCGATTTTCTCATTAAATCCATCTACATTTCTTGATCTCCTAAGGTGAATGATGACATCAAAGACGCGCGATTTGCATTTTTTGCACTTGTAAGAATTCTCTCGCGTAGCCCCAATTTCGACGAACTTTGAGAGAGAGAGAGAGAGAGAGAGAGAGAGAGAGAGAGAGAACTCTGATTAAATTTCTTTCACAGAACTCATAAAACCCGACTCTCTTCTCCGCGAAAATTTTACAACGATAGGGAGGAAAGGGGAAAGGGGAGTCGAACTTGTTCTTTTCTCATCGCGACAAATTTCAAGCTTGAAAAAAGGGCTTGATGCCTGCCGATCCGATGGCGTCCGATCGCGCGAACGTAGACTGAAACTCCATCCGGGCCGAGTTGACGTCCGAGCCGAATCAAGCGGAACTGAAATCAAGCGTATATAAATTCGTCCGAGAGCTACCGACACCACAATCGCGACTTCGTTCGTCCGCATGTGGTCGTCTCGTCAGCGAACACGCCGCCGTATGGAAACCGGAAGCTGATCGTGACAACCACACCGAGTTGGTTGTTATTGCACCGACACAACAACACCGGCACAGATGCTCGAAACTTCTCGTGCGTCCGGTGCGTATCTCGTCCGGCTAGCTTCTCCAGCTCCAGGCAGTTTCGCCGTGGAGAAGCGCTCCCAACAAGTTTCGCATTGCCGTCAAGCCGCTCGCTGCAACTCCCATTTATTCCTGATAACTACATCGCCGACTCTAACATCCGACAGCTCATCAGTCTCTCTCTCTCTCTCTCTCTCTCTCTCTCTCTCTCTCTCTCTCTCTCTCTCTCTCTCTCTCTCTCCCTCTCCTTCTCTCTCTCTCTCTCTCTTTCTTCCTGTCGAGCTCCGTTCTCGACGCATAGTCTCAACGTGTTAGTCGACAACGATCGGCGTACACGCGCGACAATTTATCGCGAACACGCAGGATTGAACTTTAATAACTTGGCGTAACTTGGCGAATTTTCGGCGAAAGGGCAGACGCGTAAATCCGCTCGAGTTTACGCCGTGATGTTCAAACGAAGCATGCATGATCCGACAAGTTGCACGACAAACGCCGGCTATGCGCGCGCGGCGACTTGGAAAATTAGCTTTGCCCTACGATGAAGTAAACGCACCTTTATGAAGCGAAGAACACGCGAATCATGTCATGAGAGGCAGGGTTTTCTGCTCGTGCAGTAACTTTGAATTACCCGGGTTTGGGTGTCCGTAATTTATCTTGTATGAAAGTCTGATGCAAAATTCGACCGATATCCGACGAGAATTATAATGAAGCGCGTGATGTTTTCAGAAATTGCGAGTGATATTAGATTTTATACTCGCTGTTGATGTAACTTTCGTTACAAGTATTCTCTAGTCGTGAAAGCGTCAGCTGCGAAAACAAACGATAAGCAACTTTTTCACGCGACGAAGGTATTGATTAATCGAGAGTCTAATATTCCGGCGATAAATAAAATATTTTATGGCGAGATACAGTCCGCGACATCGATGAAGAGTACCATTTTGTAAATACTTAAAATACTACACTCCATTTCGCACAAATACTTATAGTATTCTTTTTTTATATTCGCTATCCATCCCCTCTCCTCAGCAAGAATTCAATTTGCATTACGGTGATTCCGTAATTAGTGTCCGATTGAGTGTCAGAAGTCTGTCGAGAAATTCCGACGGGACATTTAGCGAATATTACCGCGAGAAGGATGATAAAGATGTCAACACGTGTTGACGCAGGGAGCAACATTTCCTCCGCTTGTGCATTTGGCTGCATCTGCAATCGGCAAACATCACGTGTAACTGAAACGATCGTTTTCGCAGATGCACAACGAGCTCGGCGCGAGGGTCACCACCGCCTGTCTGCAGCTGCACGGCCAAGACAGGGATGAAGAATACGTTTTGCCGCCGGGCGCCGAGATAGGAACACCGATCTTCGAGCTTTACCTAGCGCTTCAAGATTTCGTGAAGTATAAACACCTCTTGTTGTGGTTACTCGCGCTTAGCGACGAGTAGCTCCTCGCGCAGAAACAAATCTCGACTATATCCGGGTTCTCAGATAGCCACATCCTCCTTGTTATCTGAACAACGGAATAACCCAGTGTACCGAGTTAATTTCAAACATGGCAAATTATTAATGTTTCTAACGATAGCGAATAATAAACGAGTGCACTCGTTTGTTGTGTGTAGAACCGTAACCATTTAAACATTTATTATATTTTCGGGTAATAACTAGGCAATATTCTCGAATTCGAGAATATCCGGTCGGAGAAATACCCGGATTATATCGGCAGCACTGTAACGTGATATATAACGCGCGATCGCGCGATAAAATTGCCGGCGTATTACGCAAATTATATCGTCGAGAGGCGATATGGCGGGTGATGTCTCGCACATAAAACTCGTCGCTTTCAGCATGAAGGAGAATCTGCCGCAATCGGATCATAAAACTTTGGCGATCTGCAAGTATTACGAGTGGTTTAGACCAGCTGTCGACAAATGGCTGGATCTGGCGAAGCTCAAGGCGGTTCTGAGGGTGCGGAGGGCGGGCGAGCTCGATCGGGTCTGCAGCGGGGATCCTGCGTCGTTCAGCTACATTGTCAAGCACGGCACATCGGCGAACGACGTCACCGTGTGCTTTTATCAGGTAACTTTACCGAGACTACCCTTATTAGCTTAAGTCAGGCGACTCGTGTGCATGTATGTGTGTATGTGTCGCGAGCCACGAGTAACCGCGATTAATTAATACACTGCGGGAATTGCGACGACAATAATGTCTCACATTTTCCTGCGATCGTTTGCGCAGATCAAGGAATTCTGGAAGAAACTGGCGTGGCCGGATTTGCTGGGATCTAATAACTTCGTACTGAAGGTCATCGATGTAAGTGAGATCGTTCGCTTAAGCGCACCGACAGTCGCGACATATCGCGAAAAGTTGCTCGGGAAAAATGCGCGTGCAAAATTACCAATGAAAGTTTTTCAATTTACCGCTTCCGCACCGCGGAAGTATTCACGTGAATTCGCCGGAATATAGCTGCCCGCCTTGTGCGGAGGATTCCGCTTAACTTATCGCGATTGCACGACGTGGTAATAACACGGCGTTTCGTCAAATCGGTGAAAAAATTCTGCTCGACCGATAACCTTGTCGCGCGATTGCACAACGAGACACAATACACGGAACTTTGCAATTTCGTCGCAGGCGATTTGCAGCTCCGCGTCGTACTACGCGGAGATAACTCACCAGAAGTTGGCGGACAGCGGATATTACGAAGACCATGCGCCATACAAGACCACCGACGAGGTAATTGCGTTTGGAGATAGAAGAAATAATAATAATAACAATAATAATATTCTATACATAAAGATGCATCGTGTTACATAGTATTTTATTATTGCATATTATTAACGTAACGTAAGCGTTTTGCGAACGGCTTTAAATACATAATACATCCCGATTCCGAACGCAAACGCAGTAGAGCGCGTTTCTTCTTTTGCGAAGAGAGAGCGATGGCCGTCTCGTACTTGACTCGTGCCGCTTTCAGATGTGCGTGGCCATTAACGGCCTCGAGTACGTGCGAAGGTGGCTGTTGGATCTGGGGGACGAGCTACGCGTGGAGCAGATCCTAGCTGCTCTGGAGAATCAAGCGGGCGAGTCCGTGCGAATGCAGTGGCGAAACGCTCTGCTGACACCGCTGGAGCAAACTCCCGCACAGATGATGCACTACATCAATCAGATAATCTCGAGAATCGGAGCGAAGGTACGGAAGTCGAGATAAAATATGACGACGAAGATGAGAACGCAGATCTAAGCGATGGGAGATATATGAGATTACTTGCGCAACTTTCAAATTGGATCTTCGCAATAATGCGATTCTTCTCGTTTCGTAATTTGCAACAATGCTCGTAGATATTTCATTTCTTTATTGTTATGCTGCAAAACGGCACCCCTTGATATTCTTCTCACTAAATCGGCGTAATTTACTTTTTTCTTCTACTTTTCTCTTCGCAAAATCCCTCCTTTTCCCTTTCCTTCTCTCTCTCTCTCTCTCTCTCTCTCTCTCTCTCTCTGTCTCGGTTTTTTGACAGTTGAGTGGGAATTCCACCGTCGACGAAATTTCATTTATATTCCAAAATGCATAATCTATTTTCAAATGCCATTCATGACTTTCCCTACACATTTGTCCATTTATCATATTAATTTCCATATTATTTTTCATATTGTTGTTATTAATGTTGTTAGTAGCATTGTTCAGTATCTAAACGTTTGTGTCTTATTTCTTTATCTTTATATCAAAATTTACTTATTTACTTTCTCTCCCATATTCATATTTTCTCTTTCATGTTATGTCCTTCCTTCAGTTCATTTTATGTTTTCTGTCATATGTAACTCCCCGCGACTATAATTTATATCGCAACGTAAGCCTTGTGAGGGATAAAAGTAGCCGATAATTTTGTCGGCAATATACCCAACACCTTGCTCTTTGTAGATGAGACCGCCTTTGAAGAAGGCAATGTTCCACTTGGCTTGGTCGCCCGATAGCTTACCGACCACGGAGGCTATTGCGCCTCTTATTGAATACCTGGACGTTCACTTGGTGGCACTCAATAGAGATTTGCTGTCCGCGAGTTTCAATCGCGTTCTGCACGAGATCTGGGAGGTGGTCCTCAGCGAATTGAGCAACCAGATGGACGGTAACGCCGAGGTAATTGCACAGCCCTTTCAATCACACGCGAATATTAATTCTCTCCCCGATAATGAGAAATTATTAGACCCCTCAAATGCGTGCATGAAATAATTTTCACCATATTATAATACAATTTTCAATAATTTTCAACATATTATGATATTTGAGTATGCGAATAATCAAAGTTATAAAAGAGACACAAAACACAATCATACGATGAAGAAAGACAAAAAAATTCTTGTTCTTCGCAGGACAAACCAAAGATGTTTTACGAGAGACTTCATGAGGCGCTCGACTTGCTGGTGAAGTTCTTCCACGCCGACGACAGGGGTTTACCCATGGAAGTGCTGCGTCGGCAGAGCTTCATGAACGCGGAGGAACGTCTTCAGTATCATAAAATGGACACGACCTTCTTGATCGATCGATATTACCAGCAACGCCTTCTGGTATGTAAAGCACGCGCGATTATTTCCTCGGTTTAATCAATTGAATTTACGTCGAAGAGAACCACGGAGTAGAGTGTCTCTACGCCCTGTCTTTCAGGATCAGTTGAACACAGTTTCCTACGAATACGGTGTCCTGACAGTACGGGCTTATTTGAACCATGATTCTCTCTGCCTCGAGGTGATAAACGCCAGAGACGTCATACCGCTGGACCCAAACGGGTTCAGCGATCCTTTCGTGATAATCGAATTGTTGCCGCGGCGAGTATTCGAGCACTGTGCTGAACAACAGACAAACGTGAAGAAGAGGACTTTGAATCCAATGTTTGACGAATGTTTCGAATTGTGAGTATGTCCTCTAGCGCTACCGCGATATTCCTTCATTGGTCAAAAGTAACACTCGGGAAGTATTTTTGTAGTTAATTCGATATTAATGTATTCATAATCAACGAAATATATCTATCTTAATAAATATATATTATACACGCGCGTCCACGCAGTATATCGTCTATTGTATCATCTAATATATCATTGCAGCACATTGTCATTTACTTTAGATTTTACTTTACTTGTAGATTTAGCGGGTTCCGCAATTGGCTTTTGTGATCAATTGTTGATCGCGCACCTGTAGAGCCTTGATAATTTATTTGGAGTTAAAGATATTTATATACAATACGTATGTACGTTCCCTTTATTTGAAGCTCGGTGAGCGTGGAGCAGTGTCGTGATGTCAACGCGATGGTACTCTTCACGGTGATGGATCACGACGTTCTCACGGCGAATGACTTCGCCGGCGAGGCTTTCCTAGGACTCAGTACCATACCCGGCGTCGCTGACACGAACACTAGCATAGATAATTTTCATGGCCTCAAACATCAGGAGTTACCGCTTATGCACCAGAAGAATCGGAGTGAGTAACAGATCGAATTTTACACGAAACGGTAGAACGTCGCGGTCTTCGTAAATCTTCCAGTTCGCGGATCCGCGAGTATGAATATGGAGATCGAGGAATTTAAATTTGATGTCGCAACTTGCACATCTTAGGAGAAAGATTCAAGTTTACGAAAGCGTTCTAAATTGCTTCTACGTTTTCTGTTCTAAGGTACATTTTAATTTAACTCTTTGAAATTAAATCGCCTCATCGATAAAGATTTGTATTTTTCATTATTTAACGATTACAAAAGACATTCACAACATTTGATTAATTTTGAACGCGACATTTGAGAAGATATCCGAGCGATCTCGTAACTCCAACCGTATCCTTTGCAGACCAACCGATCCTTCAGATCTTGGAAACTCGAATCGGCGACAAAATGGCTCTCGACTTTGTGAAGAAGCAAAAACAACGATTCGCCACGACGTAAACGCACCTGGCGCCGACGAAAGAAAAGAAGATGAAAAAGAAGAAGAAGAAGAAGAAAAAGTAGAAGAAAAAAGCCGCGACGGTACATCGCGTTCGCCATCAAGACTTGCACACTAAACTTTAAGAGTCAATGGAAACTGAAGAAGAGGAGGAGAAAGAGGAGGAATTCCATCCCTGCGATATATCGTCGAATCTCACTCTCTCCCTCCCCTTTCCTCCCCTTCCCTCTCTCACTGTCACTCTCTTTCTCTCTCTGTCTCTCCCTCTCTCTCTCTTTCTCTTTCTGTCTCACACACTCTATCCTGCCAATCCTTCTGCCAGCCTTCATCCCAAAGATCCGTCAGATCTATTTCAATGTAAATTGTGTTGAATATAATCGGTGTTGGTTAAAAAAAAAAATAAGAAAAAAAAAGAGAAAAAAGTGGTAAGCACGGCGTAGAGAAAAAGGGTCAAGGAAGATATATATATATATATATATATACATACATATATATATATATACATACATATATATATATATATATATATCAGAACTATTTTTGTGTCGAAGAAGAAGGTGTGATGCGATGCAACTATGCAAAGAAAAAAAAAACAGTAAAATCTATCTACGGTGTGTGACGTAGCTAAGGATAAATGTCTAAGAGCCATCTCGCTATGCTCGAAGCGACGCCGGAGCGACCGCGAGAAAAATTTGTTCGCTCTGCGTTTTATACGGGAAAGTCGCAGATGGGCATTTGAGACTTTTGCGGGAGAAAGCCTGAGCTTCTCATCGTGGAAGCACTTCTCTCGCGGAGCATCCGTCGCGAACGGAAAAATTGGAGGATCTTCGCGTGAGACACGATTATATATATACGCGATGGCTCTCTTCGTCATGAGCCGAATTATTTTCATCACGAGTAGCAGCCGTGGGAAAGCGAGTCATCGCGAGGAGACTCCCGCCTCGGTCGCGTGAAATAGATTCACGCAGCGGTACATGGGAGAGGGAGAGACGAGTCTCTTCAGAACTGAATTAGTTTGAGCTAAATTAGCAATCGTTCTTCGCGAGAAACACTCATCGGACGATGCAACGTTCGCAGCACTTGAATAATTCGAATTCCTGTTTCCCTCTGCGGAGAACAAAACTGGGCCTGAATTAATGTGAACGTGCCAAACGAGTTTTGGAGTTGATGGAAACAGAACTTTTGCTCTTTGGAGGCGAATCTGGTTCGTGAAAAACCCGAATTAAAAAGCTAGGGCGAATTTATGCGCGAGAAGTAAACCGGAAATCCCGTTCCCTTCAACCCCAAAGTACATTCGGCTCGTTCATTGTCGCGTTTGCTCAAGCAATCTTTTTTTTTCTCCGTGTCGGGCAAATACAACGCACAACGAACAAGTAAATGTTATTAATGAACAAGGCAGTAAACTCAGGTGACGATGGCAAGTCGAACCGTTCGACGAGAAAATAAAGATGCATCGACTCAACGGTACAATCGTGTACGGAAATCGTATCCGCTATTTTTTACGTAAGTTCTCGAGAGAATTCTCCTACTGAAAGACAAATTTCCTCACTGGTCAAAATGGATCCGTTCCAAGACACTTACGCAAAAAATAGCGGACGGTCTTTCCGTTTACGATTATGCAAAATCGTTCTCTCATTGGAGTGTCGCTCACGGTGAATCCTCGAGATTACTTTCACCGCGTATTTTTTTAATCACATGCCCCGCAATGCAATATATATATATATATATACATACATATATATATATATATATTTCTTGATAACCCAAATAAAAGAAAACGCTGTTCTTCCCCGAGGAGCGAGCCGCCGCGCCGCTCCGGCGTCGCTTCGACGGCACAGGTCGAGCCGAGAGGGTGGATATATGATATTTTTCTTACTCGTGATCGGCTAAAGCCTCTTTCTATCTCTCAACACCACCCGATATCACGTTCTACTATCGCTGCTACTCGGGAGGCTGCGGAATAATCGACGTGCGCGTCTCTTCTCGCTTGGACGTACTCGCGCGCGACTCTCCTCGCGCCGCGGGCCTCCCGGATGCTCTCTGTTCTGTGATCTCTTTGGAAGCATCGATAAGGAAACAGAAACGTCGTCAGGCCGTAGTCCGGTCTTTCGGGTCTTTCGCCAATCTTTGCGATCCCGCGAAGTCGCAGACAGGTGTTTCTCATTTCTCGCGCTCTCACTCTCATTTTCACTTTCACTCTTACACACACACCCACACACACACATACATACACACACACACACACACACTCTCTCTCTCTCTCTCTCTCTCTCCCCCTCTCGACGAGAGCGTACCTCTGTATATCGTCCTCGGCGCACGACTTTTCTATTAGTTTTATTTGCTCGTACTACTACTCGCAGTGTGCGATGTTCTGTGTAGACTTTCCGACTTTTCGGCGCGACGCTGACGAATTCTTCGCTACTGACGTCAAGAAATTGACGTCGTCCGGGCCAAGTGACGATTGATCGAAGAATCGAGCGCTGCTGAGGAGCGAAACTGACGTTCCGCAAAGTGCAATTCCTTTAATCGGCTCCATCTCGGGCCACGTTTCGATCGCGATTCGGCACGCGAGGGGGCAAACCGGTGACGGCAAAAAGTAACGTTCCCACCTTGTTAAATTTAACGAGATCTTTGCGTTCATTCGTTCGTTCGTTCGTTCGTTCGTAGTAATTTACATGAATAATTGAAAATGGTCAAGTAGATGACGCATTACGCCCGATTGACAGGGCGGTCGCGGATTAATTAGACAATTAATTATATCGATTAATTGTAATCGATGTGGAAGAAAATTGGCAACCTAGACAAATCAAGGGGAGAAAATACGAAGCAGACGGAGCAGGCAAACAGACAAAGGCGCGATCGAACGTACACATGTCAATTTTTCTAATGCACGTATCACACGCGCGCGCGCGCGAGCGAGCACTTCGTTGCGTAATTACAAGGGGGAGGTATATGTAGACGGTAATTATACAAACGAGCGCCCGGCGTGAAACACACCTTTATATTTCGCACGCCTTGTACGACGGAAGGAAGGTAGCGAGCAGGCAAGAAAACGAAGCGAGCGACTAACGATGGAGCAACCCTCGAAGATTCGTCTGTCCGATTCTCGATATATCTCGTGCATCGAATCCAATCGAACTCTACTGTATTTGCTTTTTCAACCTTTTTCAACCATCAAAACGTATGTACGATCTATCTTGTATCGTGAGACGAATAAATTAATATAAATGTACTATCGAACGGTCTTTACCAACTTTAAGCCCAACCGGCCGCCGCCGGCGTATCGTTGCGTGGAGAAACGCAAGTCAGTTGATGAAGTTGAACAATATACGGAGAATAACAATGGACTGTCGATGAAGGAAAGTTAATCGTGTCAATGAAGATGTTTCTTCTATTATCCGGTAACAGTGCTAACATTCATCGTCAAGCCTTGTGCTCGTTAAATTGCGATGTAACAATATAATGCAATATGTTGACCAAAAATATTATAATTTCACTCTATTCGATGACTTATTTATATTATGTAACGAGTTTTCTCGAGAAGATGAGCATATTGAGAAACGCGAATTTCTTATGAGATGCAAATGTGTCACGGCTAGAAAATCAATTAGACGCAAAAGATTGAGGCGCTTCTGTCAATTCCAGGCACCCACCTAATTCAGGTATTTATTGAACCGAGCGGTTGAAGTAACTATCTTCAATTTTCTTACAGAGAAATCTTGATCGATGTTTCTTCCGTCGGGGGGAATTCAGAATGTCTCTACGACGAGAGTACAGGGAAACTTGACGTATAAGAATTATAATGCTGAGATATGTAAGATACGCGCGCTGTCGGTCAGCCGTGTTCTTGTTCGAGCGAATCGTGCGACGGATTGTTGATCTTGGACATTTGCATGGCGACTGGATTCTCCTCCGTCCGTATGATGGGCTCACCATCGAGCTTCTCTAAAGCCGGCAAACGTCGCGCGACCTCGCTCCTCCATTGCTCCACCTGCAAGTTCCATCATCCTAAATGTCCGTCGAAGTCTCTATAGAGGACCATCGATGATGATCGCGCGCGACTCGGTACCTCGAGATTCTCGTAGAGCGGGTTACCGACGAATAGCAGATCCCTGATATTCGGCAGCTCCTGCAGCCTCATTAATTCGTTCCACTCCCGCACCAGGTTGTTCGACATGTACAGCACGCGGAGATTCCTCATTGCCTGGACGCCCTTCAGCTTCTCGATGCAATTGTAGGAGATCCAGAGTTCCTCGAGAGTGTCACCCAGTGGCTCGAGCCCGGTGAAGCCCTTGATTAAATTTCGACCTAGTGACAGGATCTTCAAATTTTTCAGAGACCCGATACCTGTGGGGAGAGAGGCTCTTTAGACCGAAGATTAACTCAAGTCTATAAGGTATAGTGTAATAATGATAATTTTACTATAGCAACTCAATAATCTTGATATAGTCTGGTATAGTGTGATATTAACAATAATAATCTTTCTTAATATGTTTTCGCTATATTTACTTAGTAAATATTTTGGTAACTTTTCGTTTCATTAATTTTGTTCTTATATTTGATCTTTTTTTCTACATGATATAAGTTTAAAAGTAATGTATTATTCTGAAAAAGAAATGTTTCCTCAAAAGTACATAAGTAGATAGATAATAATTAATAACAAAATGTGTTTAGTTCATTCATCGTCAGATTAATTCAACAAATCTGTTTTTCTCCAGATGAAGCGGATCAAGCGTTTCTCATTATAATTAGATGTACGATTATTTACATAACAAATATTACATTACGTCTGCAGAGAATCTTAATGTATTGGCACCAGAGTGGAATTTATCAAGCAACAACACGACGTGAGTAATCCAATAATAGCCATTCGAAATTACATGCTACTACTCGAGCGTTGTAGCGAACGACATTAATAGTCGCTAGCTAAATCGACGACAATAATTGAAGACATTAGTACCCTAGCGCGATGCATTCGTAATGACGTGAAATTTATAATCATATTCACACTGCGGTTGCACCGCGTTGCTGAGACAACCAGCAGCCCCGATATGCATTATACATCCAGCAGTTGACACGAGGCCGAATGTACAGTAGTTCCGATACGCCACAGTCTAAAACATCGCGCAATTTGCATAAATCGATCGATTCGCGAGTGACCGCTGATTAATCGACGCGAGGCCGGTGGGGACAGGAAGAGAGAAAAGAAAGAAAGAAAAAGGAAAAAGAGAGGAAACACGGTACGAAGGAGATCGCCGCGATTGCGATTAATAATGCGATTGAATTTTGCGAGGGGAAATTACACGAGCGCGCCTTCGTTAATGCGAAAAAGTTACAATTAGCATAATTAACATCGTTCAACGATGGAGTGAAAATTACACGAGCGACATTTATGGGCGACATGCATGCGTGTTAAAATAAAATGTATCGGAGAACCGATTTACACTCGCGATGATAAATGCAGATTACATCGGAAGACGAGAGTTCTCTACGCGGGGAAATAATTAATCTTTAATCGAGTGTAATGACGCAAACTAGTTGTTTTCTTCCGCTGTTTCGATTGGCGGCGATTAACGCGGCGCTTGATGAAAAATACATACTGCATCTTTTATCCATAAATCTATCACAGGTTCGTCGTAAACATCAAATTTATCTAAAAGACGTTCTGAATTCTAGTAAGATCAACATTTTAATCGGGAATATTAAGTTAAAATAAGAATATTAAATTACAGAAAATTCGGTTTAATCCTGCTGCGTAGAGCAAAAAGTTAATAACAATCTTGAAGAGAGAATAAATTATTTTCCATCGTGAGTACATGACAATGAGCTTTTCTAAAATTTGCAATGAGTTTGCTTCAAGTCTACTACCAAGAAAACATTCTTTGTTGAAAATAACCCGCTCAAATAAAGGAGAGTGACCGAACAATCGCTTATTTTGACAGCAGAGGATATTATTTTCTCTGTGTGCGTTCACTCGTTGAAGAAGCGCGAGCTTGTCGGCGAGGAGGGAACCGTAATGCGCGAATTTCTACCTGCGATTTTCTCGATCATGTTCGTCGACAAAGACAGCTTCTCGCAGTTCGCCAACGTGGCCAACGCATTGTCCATCTTTTCGACCGGCGGCCATTGGAAGCTCAGGATCACCTCCGTCGCCTTGGCTGCTTCCTGCTCATTCTCCTCCTCCCATCGTCGAACAGCTTCCTTGCAAGTGGTCGGTTTAGTCGACATGGACGGATCGCAACGACGACGTTTCTCCACGCGACATCGGAAAGAGACCTCCGAAAATTATCGGGAATATTTTATTGCATGCACATGGATAACGTTCGCATGGATGTGAAAGAGAAGTATGGACGATTCGCCGCCAATATCTCGGCATTATTCGGTAGGCATTCGGATAGCTGCAAAATCGGTATCATAATTAATAACCGCCGGAAGCTTCGTTAGTCGAGCGCATCGATGGTCAAAGTGGCACGCATCGCGACGCTGATTGTGATAACAATTAACGAAAACGGTACTCTCAATTTCAGAGAGTATTTTCCCTCGAGGCTCCGCGGCCGCTCGTGTGCGCAGCAATTAGCAAAATTAAATATGTTTTATACGTCGCATTGAGCAACGCGTTACGTAACGCGTTGGCGAGACTTCAAGAAGCGCGAAAACTGCGTTTCAAAAGCGGCTAGCGACACGTGCGCCTCCGTGCCACGTGTGTGCGTTATGTCGTTATATATGTATAAATATTTAAATTATATATACATATATATATATATATATATATATATTATATAAGGTGAGACAATAATGATTACTCTACATTTTAATATTAAAAATCGTAAATATGTTTTCCTCCGTGCAGTTAGGATATCTTCGAGATGTGATTGAAGAGAAAAAATATATCTTTATATTACATTACTTTTAATTATTTTACTTTTAATATTAAAATAATAATTATTTTTAAAAGAGAGAAAACTGCCAAGAGAATAATGATACGTAACAAATTATACGAAACAGAAAACGCTCGTCTTGCGGCGATCTTTTTCTAGGTGATGTGTCTTCGAACACGTGACAGCCATCTTTTTCTCTCTGAAGTGAGATACGCAAGGCGGTAATAGTTACTGGCTCACTCTCTGTATATAATCACCTTGTATATCACAAGTATAAACAACGCTCAACGGTCAGCTTCGCCTCTTCTTCCTTTCACATTAATGCAGCGTGGCGCTTCGTTGCGATGTTACGTATCCTCGAGTCGGCAAGCCCGAACAACAGGATCGAGCACACCTTCCAGGTGGTGCATCTTTTGTCGCAGCCCCGAACAGCGCCGCAGGATCGTCCAGGTTCACGTGTGTTCGTGGTTGCCACGCACTCTCCGGGGTTACCAGGACCGGCGGCGCCGGACTGTTTTGCTCGGTCGCATGGCAAACTGCCACACGACCGAAGAGAAAGAGAAAGACCGGCGATATCTGGTAGCCGGCGAAATAATCGATTTGCAAAGCGCATGCGTTCGACGCGGATATTTATTAGCCGAGCCGAACGATAGATGGGTGGATGGATGAACGGACGGGCGATGATAGATTTACGATGAATATCGGCTCGGAAGGGGAGCTGAAGGGAGAGCAGGAAAGGAGGGAGAAACAAGAAAGAACCCCCTGAGAAAAATTACACACGTGCGCGCGCGATCGATGAGCGATGACGCGTGTTAATGTCTAATTCTATCCGGCCGTGGCCGGAAGCGGCCGTGAGAGCGACGATCCGAGCGGTGATTAATGCGGAAGCGGCCGCGGCAAATCTGCGCACGCGATTGATTTTTACTTTGTGTATAACTTGTGTGTGTGTGTGTGTGTGTGTGTGTGTGTGTATACAGCATGCTACAGCTCCCGTGCAAACAGAGCGCAGCGGAACCGTCGACGTTGGGACGCAGTCGGTCCAAGTCGATCTTCCCTTGAAAAACAGAATCCAGAGAATCTGCCCGCACGTGCCCGCCAATTTCCCAACGCCGATCTAGCGCGAATCTGTGATTAAAATAGGAGTTAAAATAATTAAAGTGACTAAAGTAGGAATGAAACTTCTGAAGATAGACGGAAGGACTGTTTCGAAGAAGAACGCTTATCGCGGAACACGTGGCCGTGTCTTCGTTCCTTTCCGGGGGCGCCACCGTGTTTTGCTCGGAGAAACGAGAAGGAGATTGATCATGCTTCCTTCATCAATCAAACCGCGGAGACGTGTAAATCAGCAAGCCCGTCGGGCCCGTAAATCCGCGCATCGACGAGCTGCACGGATCGTCGGAGGCCTCGCGAGCGAAATTCGCGATTCGCCGCAAAACAAGACGTCGTCCTCCTTGTCTTCTTCTCTCCTCTCTTCTCCCGTGATACGCCGAGACCTGCCGTCGCAAAGATATCGTCGATGATGTCGGATTGCAGCAGCAGGCATTTTTCTCAGCATTTTATTAACCAAAGGACTGGCAGTATCGTCACGTCACGTATTACAGCGAGCAGACACAATGACACTTTAACACTAAGTTACATCCACAGCTGTTTTCTCTTTCGGGAGACGCTAACGACACGGATGGAACGGCCGTGGGTTCATCGGCGGCGTAACTCTTATTACAGTCTTCGCGAAAACTTACAGTCCTCGGGGCTCGAATTTCTCAGACACAGAGGAAATGTATACTTACAACACCTCTCTCGCATTACTCGTCTCGCCTTTCCTCCTCTTTCTCTTTCTCTCTTCCCTCTCTTGTTCTTTCTCTAATGGAGCTCGGGAAGCGGAAGAGCACGTGCGATTTCCTGCTCGTAAGTTACGCCACCGCGAGTATATGCGTGCATATGCGTGTGTATGTGTGTGTGCGTGTGCGTGTGTGCGTGTGTATGACACGACGACGCGGCGATCTCGCGGGTCAACATGACGGAAATCAATAACGAATACAAACGTGTGTGTCGGTAATATAATATATGTATGGTAATAGGTTATTTTACAGAGTGCGATACTCATATAAGAGAGGATACTCCTACACCGAGTTACCTTAAATTACAAAAATACGCAAAGGCACTTGGTAACAACCTCGAATTTCTCGTTGAGAGAGAGAGAGAGAGAGAGAGAGAGAGAGACATTCTCATATGGGAATAAATCGTGAGGAACTCAAAAGAGAAGATCGCAGCTGTCTAGTCGGAGGTCCTCGCGCTCCGACGCTGATCGTCGATCATGATCATGGTAACGACCACGAAGACTGCCGAAGGATGGGGAAGAGACCTCCGAGTCCCTTTTCTCCGTGTTCCTTTTCCGTTTCTCCTGCTCTCCCTTATCCGACTCGCAGGAGGATCCGAGAGACACCTTTCAGTCAGAGCGTCGGCGTCGAGCGAGAAAGGCTAGGAAATCTCGTGCAACTTCGTTACCCTCGTACACACGTGTACAGTTCCTTCGTCGAAGAACGAAGATATACTCGCGCGAGGGAGGGAATGACAGAGTCGTCGCATGTCATCGGCGCGTTGTGTTCCTGTTCGCATGGACGTACGCGGGTTATCAATACTTCAGGTTCCATTTCACTGCGCTAACCGTAATGTGTGTATATATAATTCGACGAGAGATGTACACAGGCATAGAGATCGCAGAAAATAGACAATTTTCTATCTAGACACTCTCCTTAAAGACTCGAAAAGGATATATCTCTGCGCGAGAGACTATAGTTTTAGACACATACGTCATCCAGCACGGTGTCCGTTCGCTCGCGCCGCGGAAACACGCGAAACGCGATGGGTCTCATTTCCGTTGCGGCGGGATGTTGCACACAAAATGCCGCATCGATTAATCGCGCGTTGCTCGCTAGCGACGCTTGATTAACGTAAGAAAAAGAAAAAACGGGACCGCCGAGTACAGGTGGAAAGTAATCTCGAGAACTTTCTACGTATTCCGGTATTCAAAGACTGGATTTTAGCGCAAGTCCCCGAGTGACCCGTATTTACGCGGTCGTCACCTTCAACTTGTCTCACGTGAGATTTCCAGACCTGAATTTAGGCCTCTGTTAACGGCCGCTACACGAAACTCGTGTCACGTGAAATATTCACGCTTTGGAATTTAGGGTTAAGAGTTTCCGAGTTGTGAGGGTTCCTGAGTTAAGAATTCCTGAATTTTCCAGTCGAATCACACACACACACACACACGTGTGAGACACGTGGCGTTGTACTTGTGAGGGGCGATTCAACTGAGAGACTCGTCGATCTGACTCTGCATTAAAATCTGAGTATCTCTCGCCTGAGACAAGCTTCGAGCAACGACTATTAATAGAGTCTGATCTGATTTCTTCGGTTGAATCGCACAACGCGCGTGACATTGTGTCCGCAATCGCGATCCAACCGGGGAACTCGCATCCAAGACTTTGAACTCAAGTACTTTGTATCTCACGTGCGACACAGAATTTCAAGAGTGACGACTGTTATAAATGGCAGAGTGACGCGATTTTCCCCGTACGAACGAGAGAAACTTCACGTCACAGGTAAGCACTGGCGTTATTGCAGGCACGGCAGTCGGGCCGTAACGCAATAACGCACTACAAGTTCATTGGAACGCGGGAGAAATTGATGGCGTTTCGCGATTACGAGCCAATTTACCGGGATGGCGGCGGTATTTTGTTTGCGACAGCATAATGCCGCCACGTGGTGGAATCGACACTCGTCAACGAAGATTAGAGGAATACACATGTATATGTTTGTATGTATGTATAAGTGGTTGTATATGAAAGTGAGTATGTTTGTGCGTGTGTGTGTGTGTATATGCGTACGTACGTGTATAGATCATGCATTGCACGTGAGTAATAACACGCTCTTACACGTAAGTTTCTTTTTTTTCTTTTTTTTTTTTCTTTTCTTCTTTCGCGTATATATATGTACATGTACATACTAGATAAAAAGATTAAGTAATTGGTCTTATTATACAATAATAAGGTCATACAGCTTAATGGCGACTAGGTTCATGCCATGGTCCAGTTTGATTCCCCCCCTTATCGTCACGATCAATTTGAACTTTTTGATTGCATTATTCAGCGCCGTGTGTGTGAAGAAGTGACGTATGAAACGCCGGACGTTTCGCCGAGAACTCGGGTTTCTTGATTTAACATATATGAAATATCGGCGAGAGAGAGAGAGAGAGAGAGAGAGAGAGAGAGAGAGAGAGAGAGGAAGAGAGACACGCACGACGACACCTCGTCGCCGATCTCTGTTGGTGGATAAAATTCGCCGATTTATCAGAACTTCCTCGATTGCTTCGGATTCGAGTAGCTTGAGAAAGGAAAATCAACAGGTCAAGTTGTTCGAACACGACGTCTCCGACGGACATTCAATGTCGTGTCGGCAAATATTTTAATGAACAATTTAACGACGCTATAGTTCAGGTGCTAAACGAGGGAGGAAAATTGGGCGCTTTCGCGCGCGGGAAAATTACGTCGGAAAGAAGTTACTGATAAATGGCGCTCCGGGGCCGAAGGAGTTAATCACTCTCGTTTATCTCCGGGTAATTATTCCAGCCTCGGTGGACAAGCGCGTGGAATCGAATTCCTGATATCTTCTCTCGCTCTCCCTCTCTCTCTCTCTCTCTCTCTCTCTCTCTCTTTCTCTCTCGCTCTTTCTCCACGCCTAGACTCCCGTTAACCGGCGTTTTTTACTAATTGGCACTTCGTTTGCCCGACGCCGCTACTTGTGGTCCGTTTTGGTCCTCGGACCGTTCTCGTCCTCCAGACAGGATAACGAGATATCCTCGTTGAGCCTTAAACGACTTCGATTACGATAACTCGGTCGCCGGTTCGACTTGACATGCTACTCGTCCACTCGTCGGACTTATCCGTCGCGCAACCGATTGCGAATTAAGGCTGACTCTCACCGTCTGTCCAGACGATGACAAACAGGAGTTCGTGGATCTTCTGTTGGATTTTTCCTCTTGGATTGGAATGATCGAGACGTGACGGTAACGGAGACTGTGAATATTCCAATACGAAAGCGTTGGAGAATGTCTCGACAGAGGATCGACGGATGTCTATCTGGATGGATAGTAAGAACCAACCTTTACATCCTCATGACTCACGAAACTGACGATTCCGTTAGTGTAACTGAATTTTTCGTGGACCGGCAAGAATAGGATAATAAGAACCAAGTGGAAAACTTGATCGTAAGAGCGGAAAGGAGCTTTCTTTGTTAGTCGATTGTTCTTGGTCGTCTCAAGCGAGTCTCGATACAGCCGAGTGTTTCACAGACGAATGTTCTCGGTGGTGATAGAAGCGTCACTTCTCGTTACCGAATTTTCCACTGGTCCCTATTCAGTTGCACGAACTGAGATTTTCCCTTCCGTGTGACTGATCCTGCTTGACCGACACGCGAAAATGTCTTTGTTCCTTCCTCCCTCCTTCCTCCGGAGACGTCTTACGACGGAGCTCCCTCCGACGGGGGCGAGAAGGCTCCTCGAGTCGTACTTAGAAGAACAGAGGTCGGAGACCACCCGACAGACTTCCGGTCTCGGTGGTCGGTGACCTTCGACTTAAAGTACGTGAAGGTTCTCGCAGTTCTTGAACTTGCTGTCCTCCTTGCCGAAGAGCCAGGTCAACATCTGCCTGGCCTTCATGCTGGCGCGCACCACGCCTCTGGATTTGTACCAATGACCGCTGCCCTCGCTGCCGCTACCGCTGTTCCGGTTGTCCAGCTGGCCCTGGACCACCTTCAGGCGGATCTGATTCAGTATGCCGACCAGGAGATCGTCCACGTTGTGGTTGATGCCCACCGACACCTCGACGAACTTGGCGCGATACGTGCAGGCCAGGCATTTCCCGTCTGCAACGCAGGGTTCAGCAAAGCGCGATAACAAGCGGCCAAGCTTGGAATATATGGATATTCGAAACCGTATTTCGTAACTCTCCACTCGGTACTCAAAGCCGTGTTTCAACCCTCCATAAATTTCAAGCACCGTGTAACTTTAAAGTTACGCGCTCCATATATACGTATGTATTTTTAAATCCAATTTTTAAATCTGGTTTCATTTCTTTTTCGCTGCACCATTTCAGTGCGCTATTTCGTGATTGTGAAATAATACTACGAAACAGTCTGTTCATATAATAACTATTAATTCTCTTTAAATAAATTACAATGAAATAATTATAAATTACAACACCGTTGTTATTTGTACAGAGAGTTAACAAAAAGAATCTCGAGTACTCTCGTGGCGATTTTCCGCATGCGCGTGTGACGGACGTGTACGATAAAGAGCAACCTTTGGTAAAATGTGAAAAAATAACCCGAGGTCGGAATTTTGGCGTTCTCCGGCGAATTCGTGGGAATTTTACGTTACTCGACGTAAGATGAAGATCAAATACGGCGGATTTATTTTTATCCGGGGAAGCGCCTGCGAGATACACCCTATCGTCTCAATCGAGCGATCGATTCCGTAGAGTGTCATAAAACCGCCTAACCATAAAGAGATATAGGTACACGTGAAAAAGAAAGGAAGGTCTGGCACTTACCTTGGGGCGAGACCACTCTCGAGCGAACCAAATCGACCTTGTTGCCGACCAGAATAGCCGGTCTACCACGAAGAAGATCTTGATCGTGTAGCCGGGCGAGATATTCCTCAGCCCTTTGAAAGGACGCCTTGTCGATCACCGAGTACATCACAACGAAGGCGTCCGGCAGCGGCATCTTGTCCAATTCGCTCTGCACGAATGCGAACGTTTCACGTTTGTGATTCAACAGCTCTCTCATTCGCTCGTAGTACTCCGAAATTCATTCGCCGGCTCGAGAGGAGGCGAAGCGTAAGCTCCTTTCTCCTCCGTCTTCGTTTGCCTATCCCGGCGGAATGGATAAGCAAACGAAGTCCCTCGAAATCGTATTTGAATTGAAAATTAAGAAGAGATTGAAGAGAGAGACAGAGAGAGAGAGAGAGAGAGAGAGAGAGAGGAAATTACATGAAACAACCTGTAATAACTCCCCGCGGCCTCTCTTATCATTTTGATTTAATTTCCCCGTCACTTCGAGATTTAATTCTTTCCTGCTCTTCATTACTCCGCTCTCTAATTAATCCAGTGTATGCTAATTCTTTCGGACGCCCGTTTGTACTCATGGTGCACGATTATAGCTGATAATTTATATTAATTTTTTGTAATTAGCTCCAACATTTGTCCTACGAAATAGCTTTTCTTTTTTCGATGAAGTACTCTGTGCAAAATACATCGAACGTTTTGTACGATAATAGTATATCTTCTCGCATTGTATCTTAAAATTCGACTTTTTCTCTTGCTATTTAATACGCAACAAGCCGCAATGTTCGTAATTTTTCCGATAATTGCTCTCACCTTTGGGTTGGCGATATTTAAAAATCTAAGCTCGCTCTCTTCTCCGTTCAGCATCACAAAAACGGATTGCTCGCTCGGCACATCTGCAATAAGAATAAAAGACGGTAAATTCTACGGACGATCCTCTCGTCCTTCACGAAGGAACTTTTTATGGCCGACTTAATATCGTAAAAAGTCTAAGGGGAAATAAAGATAACATAGGCACACAGCACGTGTGCGAATATAAAAATCGTTACAAAAATATCGGAATATATTCCCTGAAAATCTCCTCACGTCACAAACTCGCTGCGCCATGCATTCCAAGAAAAAAAATATTCGTGTGCAACAACATTAATTCTTACAGTGCAAATAAATGATTCAACGAAGGGAGTTTATCGCGTCTGCAAACAGATGATCAATTAAATTCGTTCCAGTTTTATTGACGGAATTATTATTGAAAACATTCGGACCGATTTCCAGGCAAAATAAAAATACATACATATCCGAATTCGAATTAAATGATAAATCACTGACACTCGTTTGTAAAAAAAAAAACAAAAAAACTTCTCCATCGAACAAGTCAAACAACAAATATTTCATTTCCACAAAATAATTAATTCTTTTTCGCTTTTCTCGCCGCACAACTTTTCAATGGAGGATCAGCACGCAGGACGCTTTTTATTCGCAAACACTCGATTCCATTTGTTTTTCATACGCGCTTTTAACCGGATGTCAACGTTCTTCCGACCCATTTTTTTCACTTTCAGAGTGACGGCTTACGCTTAGCCATTACCCTCTTCGCACCTTGCGCTTTTTCTTCCGGACGAAAGAAAGATAGGCAGAGGCGAAAAAAGAATGGGACAGACACCGCCACGATTTACCGACTCATTTATTTTATCTTCTTTCTCTCTCTCTCTCTCTCTCTCTCTCTCTCTCTCTCTCTTTTTGTTCTCTATTTCTCTCCCGTCGGCGAAAAGAACGGGATGGTGGAAAAATAATCAAAGCCGCAAATAAAATGCGTTTCAAGGGAAACTACCGGGGCAGTCCTCCTTGAAAGAGATAGAGGGAGAGAAAGAGAAAAAAATCTGAGAGAGAGAGAGAGAGAGAGAGAGAGAGAGAGAGAAAGAGAGGAGGGAGAACCGGCCGACGTAATCCCGTGCGTCTAAATGCGTCGCGCAGACCGCCGCACAGCTGTCAAGAGCATCGCCGATTGATTTTGGCCACTGACGAAACGCCGTTGGTGACGTCAGATATTCGACCGGGTGTCGTTGTCCTAACGGATCTTTTTCCGCCAGACGGCTGCCGTTTCTGACGGAGATGCAATTTCGCGGTTGCCAACTGCGGCTGTCATGAATAATGAATGTCTCGAGCGTGCATGCCGGAACGCATGGCTCAAGCAACAAGCGAGCGCTGCCATATTTCAATTTTTTTCTCCTCTAGAGACAACGATGCTGATTTAAAAGTAAATTATTGAAGTTAAGCGCAAAATACAGTCAAGAGTAGAACGCGTAAAATCCTCTGTTAAAAATATGAAGTCGATCTTACAACTGGTTTTATGAAAATTGGCGAGAAAGGTTCTCTTTTATTTGTATTAGCAGTTTACATCGCGGAAAAATCTTCTCTTAACAAATAGATAATAACAATTTGATAAATTTTCTGTATAAAAACGCGTTTAAACGGTAGTTTTAATTACAACCTCTTTCTTTACTTCTCATGTACAAACAGTAATCTCGCAAACGGTCGTCTCTCACGCTGTAAGGTATGTAATTAATTACGATAAACGAGTAAATTAATTGCGAAAAACGAGAATCAAGCCTGAAAAGGTCACTCTTGAAGGGAGCCCCTTAGTTCCCTTCAGTTTCAATAGTTACCCGCGCGCTTCTCTGCATTTCGCGCGCGAGACACGCACCCCAGCCGTGCATTATTCGTTCTTTTGAGCTACCGCCATTCCGCTTCGTTTTTATTCTCACCTCGAGCATTAACTGGAATATACGCTCGCTCGTAATATACAGCATGAACTGAGGCGGAAGTGTATATGTTACGGTGCGCGGAATTAGACGAAAAACTCAAGACAATTTAGCCTCCCGCTAACGACACGAAATTGCAACGAGCATCTTGCCTGAGATAACAAGAGGAATATTTTAAACAACGAGAGAGCTTTAACTAGACCTTGACAATTGTAAATCGTTGTATCTTGCACCGCCATGAATTTTGGTGAATTCTGTTCCTTCCTCTCCTTTCGGCTGCTTTGTAATTTTTGGAGAGACGATACACTCCGGGGAGAAACAAATCCGCTGGTATAATTGAATTTTCCGTTGCCCGGAGAGAATAAGGACCGAGTGGAAAATTCATTGTAGGAATGGAAAGATTCCTGTAGGAAGTTTCTGATCAGTCAGTCGTTTGGGAGAATTTTTTTCGATCGCGATAACAAAAAAATATCGTTGCCAGTCATCAAATTCACCGTCTAGTCCCTCTACAGTTGCGCGAACTGAAATCCTTTTTCTGTGAATAAATAGGAAACAAAAGTACGAAAAAGAAGATTTTACATCTTTATTGAGAGATATAAGAGAAGATATATTAATAACGAATGAGATAAGCTCGAGTCGGCTTGTAGGAAGAAAAAGATCGAAAAGGACACAACACCATATTGAAGAAAAATTCCAGTAATAATATCGTTGCGACCATGCACAGCGGAAAATCGATATATAACGAGTTGACAGAAAAAGAATGATTCTCCCTTGACAACGAGCTGTCAAAAATAACAGCGGATAACAAGAGAGTTTCACACACAAGCCGGCGGATCAGGCTGACGTGTTGCATCTTGCATCGAGAGCGCGAGTTTGCACAAACGAAATGAACATTACGTCATTTGTAACAGTCGAGTTCTAATTAAACGTTCATAGTTTAACTCTTGAAAACATGTTGCTTTTACTAACGAGCGAGCGCATCATTTTGGAAGTTCGCCCGGGATAAAGGGACGAGAACGCGTACGGTTCCGAGTTTGCAAATAGCACGGGAATGCCGAAGTAGCACGCATATCAAAATGTTGCGTTCACGCGTCGGCAAAGCAACGTATTTCCATCGCGCAAATGGGAAACAAAGAGGACAGGAAAAGAGAATGACAAAATTTTACATCTTTATTAAAAAGTACATAAAGGGGTGTATTAAAAGGTCGATCTCTCTGGCTCGTGTGCCACTCTTTTGTTATCCATTGTTGTTTCCTGACGACTTGTCGTCAAGAGGGGGAATCGTCTCTCTCCCGTCAATTCGTTATGTATCGATTTCCCGCGCGGTACACGTTCGCGACAATACATGGAGGTTTTACACTTGTCAAAAATAATCCTATTATATTGTCAACGATCCAAGGTTTCCAGTGTTGCGGCGAGAAATTGTGAGTTATCGCATCAGAGTGCCGTTAGCAGACGACAACACTCTGTCGTCCCGCGGTGTCCCGCGATAAATGTCGACAGCCGCGAGAGATATTTCCCGAATCGCCGATGTAAATTCGCGACGCGGAGTCTCGTGTGGTCGGCGGTTGCCAGAAAATAGAGGTCAACGGTCAGACGCGGCTGGCGCGACGGATGTGTATGCGACGATATCACGCGGAAACGCGCAAGAAAGAATGGCGGTAGCAGCAGCAGCAGCAGCAGCAGCAGCCGTCCGTGTGATATATCTTTCGATTGCTCGCCCGAGCACAGAAGAACAATGATGAGACTCAACGAACAAGAAGGGTACGATATGCGAAACAAGCCGTCGGCTGCTCCTTCGTCGTCGAGCCGCGAAGGAACCCCGGAAGAAAAAGAAGACGTTGTCGCGGGATTGTAAACAGCAGTGAATTAAATTCCATTTGCAATTTGGCAAGGTTGCTAAAATGATGATATTATTTTTGGCGGACCAACTGTATTTTCTTGTTGTTCTAATAAGAGTGTAGCAGTAACAATATGCATATAATAATAATACTAACAATAACGAAAGGTAATATAAGATGTAACAATATAAAGCTACCACTGACACATGACAGTAATAATATAAATATATAGCAATAATAAAAATATTGAATTTATTCTTACTTCTAATACCTAACCATTTATATCGTACGAGGTGTGAGTATTGCATGTGAAAATCCGAAATGGGCATTCGGAGCGTTGAAAAACAATAACGATCACAGTGAGGTCAATGGTGGGGAAAACGATGTGTTTACGTTTGGAAGATAGACACGCGGATCATAAAAACGATGTCGCGACAGAGATAGGCAGTTAGTCGCTGTTGGACGCCCGAAATAGACGTGCCATCGCCACTCGTGCAGAAGGTTGGTGAGTGTTAATCAAATCATTGTTTTCTAATGTTCATCGGGTGACCGCCATTTTTAATCAATTATCGCGTGAGGTAATTGCGCGAAAGCCTGACTCCAAGGTATCCTGGCACTCGGTGCGTCTTCGTATCCCGCTCGATCTCCACCGACGGGCGTCTGAATTATATTATCGTTATGCTATCTATTGTTTCTTTTGTGTTTACTAGCTCGAACTGCTCGTTTATTCATTCGGCTCTTAGTGTGTATACATAAGGCGAATAAACAAAAGAGGGAAGGTCATGTCTATAGGGACTCGCTCCCGTATTATTTATACATCCTATACATTACTCTTACACACTATTATATGTTTCAGAGAAACAATAATTTTACGCGCATGTTGCTGTTGTAATTTATTTCTCTTTTTCTTTATTATTAGAACAGCAAAGAAAATATAGTTGAAGCCGAAAATATATAGTCGTAACTTTGGGGCGGGATTATCCATTCTTTTTCCTGTCAGTGTGGCCTCGGGAAGTGAAATACGCAGCGGCCGCGAATTCAGCGACGATTCCAGGCGGACAATTAACGAGAAATCGCGGCGGCCCCAGCGCGAAAATGGCGCTGGGGCCGCCGCGACGAAACGCGAGCGGGGTGGTGTTGTCGCGCGTCTCGGTGAACGAGATATTTTACAGCAGGGTACAGCGCGGTGGCCGCGATTTCAAAGGCCACCGCTGATCGTTTTCGGGACGCGGTATTTTCCGTGTATTTTATACGAAATAATTATTTCGATGCAAGCGAGCAAACGAGCGCGCGCTA